AACATGGTACTGCATTTAGTACCAGGGAAACAGTGCAGATGTCTGCTGGAACCGGACGTTTCCCTCTGCTTTTGGTTTCTCCGTCAGTGCATCTGAACATCACTATTTCCTTGCCCAGCAGTTTGACATGACATTTTCAGAATTCAAGGCTCCTACGTGTGAATGTTGTGAGTAGGGATGCGGCACTTGGGGTGATGCTGGACATTCATGCTGAAAATCTTGAGGCCCTTCTGAGCTAACTCTTGTGAGGAGGTATGGTGCAGGACCTAGAGTTGCTTGCAAGCAGCAGCAGCAGCAGCAGCAGCAGAAGCAGCAGCAGCAGGGAAAGAAAGGTCTTCTTGTGTGCGTTCTTGACAGTCCCTGAGGATTCTTGCTGAGCACTGATTCTTGCTCACTTGTCCATTCAGCTCTGGAACCTGTCAAGGTTACTCTGGCTGGTCTCTCTTCTTTTCAAAGAGTGCCAAAACATTTTGGGCAGTGCAGACTTTTTTAGTCAAAACTAAAGGTAGCAGTTGTTGTTATTCATGATATTCCAGTAATTTAAATGGCAGGATACATGCCCCTCCTGCCAGAGAGTTCATTTTCAGATGAAAGCCTAGTTCTGGTTTCTCTCTGCTCTTGGTGCTGCTAGAAGCTGCAGCTCTCATGTATGGTTCGGTGCATTCCTTTAGTGCCTTGAACTTAGAGAGGGTGTGGAAAATGAAGTATCTCTTACGTACACCGTGAATGGCATAAAGCATGGATGAAACAGCCAGGAGAGCACAGTGCTCTGTCCCCCTGCAGAGTGACTTGGAATTGCAGATGAGCTCAGGGCTGTGAGCAGAGGCTGGCCTTTTGCTTGCTGCTAGAGATTTTGTGGGCACAGCCACCCGTGTGGGATATGTGAGGGAAGAGACATTTGAGCCTTGGCTGCTGAGATCAAGCTCAGCTGGGCTTTCTGTGCTGGGCTAGAGCGTGGGGAAAGGCTGGCCAATCTCCTGGAAGGGTCTGCTTTGCTATTTGAAGTGGTAGAAATAGTCTTGCTCTATCTGCGTTTCCATGCCAGCTGTTTTCCATACTCAGGTGCAGGGATCTTAAGGCACTTACTGGAAAAACTGCCCGTGTGTGCAACGAACAATTTGTCCTCATCTTCACAACTTGTAGGACAGAGAAGAAGAGCTTGCAATGCAGCCTGTTGGAGGCTCTGCAGCAGGTGTCGGAGATGGAGATCACCAGGAGCCGTCTGGAAGGCCAAGTAGGCACAGCCATGCAGGCCAAGGAGCTGATAATTGGTGAGAGCCTCGTGCGCTTTGTTTCTGGTGATGGCCCTGCCTAGTGCAGTTGCTCCCAAGGCAGCTCTGTCAGCAGGGCTTCCGAGGAGTGAAGGGGCTGGGGGCAGGTCCCTCCTTGCCTGAATCTGAAAGGGGTGATGTTCAGCAGAGTCTTTGACTGTTGTTGTTTGTCGTGTTTGCAGAGGATGTCAGGGGCCTTCGTTGTGAGCTGCAAGCTGTAAGATCTTTCAGCAAGCAGCAATGTGAAGAAATGGCCCAACAGCTCCGCTTGGCAGAAGAGCAGTTCAGCAAGGCTCTGAGACTCTGGCAATCTGAGCAATCTGCTCAGGAGGAGGAGAAAAGGAAGCTCCTGCAAAAACAGGTAGGAAGCAATACACACCTGAACTTTTCAGGCAAGCTTGGTGGGCTGGCTTAGCAGAATAGCAGCCTGAGAATGGGACATGGCCGCAAGCCTCTGCTGCAGGCCTGACGTTGCTGGGCCAGGCAGCAGAGGGCTTCAAGGGCTCAGACTTGAAGGGCTGTGAATGCCCAGAGGAGGGTGCTGGGGCACTGAACACAGCCACGGTTTCAGGGAGGCCATGAGCCACGCTCCCCTGGAGGCTGGGTGGTCGCACACAAAGCACGGCAGCAAAGGGGCAGGACCTTGCTGACACCCTGGTACCGTGTAGCAGTCTGCTGACCTTGCTGCCACCTGCAGTCCCAGCAACTGCCTTCCTTGCTTGCTGTCCTTGCACGGTGGACAGAGCTCTTCCCTTTGGGCTTGAAGCATACGCAACAGGCCCCCTGTTGCTGGTATTTCAGCTGGTGGCCTGTCTTGTGACTCTGGCTTTGGGGTGCTGGCCCCCTCCTCATCCTGCAGTCCACCTGCAGCTTTTCCTTGATCAAAGGGTATGGGACTTTGAGAAAAGAAGTCTTCCCCCTTCTTTCAGAGCGGGGAAGGAAGGTGGCAGCCCCTTTCCTTCCAGCTGCTGACACCCCTCCAAAGTTTCTTGTCAGGACAGAAGTGCTGGAGGGCACAGAGCCACTACTGTGCACTCAGCAGCAGGGGGCTGTGGGAGGGATGAAGCTTCCATTGTTTTCTTTGGGGAGCATGGCTGGGACTTCATCTGGAAGTGTCTATTCCTCTCATCAGGAAAGACGGCTGAAACAACAGCGTTTGAAGGTGCTGGAGCAGCGGGAACACTTCCTGGCAGAGGTACAGAGGGAGCAGGAGAAAAGGGTGCTTGAGATGAAGCAGGAGACTGCCGTAATGCAACCTGAAGAAGAAAAGATGGGAACCAGGGCCGGTCAAGATGCAAAGAGAATGCCGAGGGTGTTTGGACGCTTCTGGGGCTCCTTATGGGCACTGCTTCTCCAGACACTGTGTGTGTGGGTGGGATTGTGTCTTAGCTGGCCCTTGGTAAACAGGAGAAGGAGAGCAAATTGCTTTTGGAAAGCGTGAGCACATGAGTCTTGGTTGCCACACAGGTGGTGGGTGGGAAGTTTGAA